CTAATGGCTTTATAAATTGCTTGGAATCGGTTAGCTTAACTTTGGAAGAGACTAGGTTACTTAGGCCTTTCCCATGATGGTTGGTTGGTTAATTCATAACGGCAAAGTAAGCGAGGACTCTTTGTTTCAGGACATGGGTTTTTAACCAAGGGAAATTTTCCTGGCAACCATCTCCCTAAAACGACTACATATAAAAGTGACTACTATTTCTGCTACATTGAATAACATCTCTCTGAGAGGACCACCTCCACATATGCATTTTTGAATGCAATAATAACATTGTTTAAAAATTGGCGACATTGTTAACTATATCCTACATAACACATGTCCAGAATCAGTGTCATGCAAGGTGCAGTTGGTGTTTTTCATTCATTTCTAAGATCTTTAACCATTCGGAGCATAAATTAAGCATATATGGTATTTCTCTTCCAGTATCTATTGACAGTTAGGAGAAAATATGTCAAGTATTCAGCAGAGAACATATTCCATATAAAGATCCATTTCTACCATCATTCCTTCCCCCCCAAAAAAAAAACGGGTTTTCTGTATAATCCCTGAATTTTTATAAAAAAATCTTATTTAATGAGAAATTTATATTGTTTAATTCAAACAAAAATTAAGAACTTCTTATGTTACTTAACGTTTTCCAAACTTTTCTGTTTTGTTGTTTTAAAATGGTATGTATAGTATGTAAAGTATTTGTAAAGGTATGTAAAGTATTTGTTTTTCGATTTTGGGAGGTAGTTTGTATTGCTGCAGTACTGTTAGCTATGCCCTAAAACATTTGATTTCTCATAGATATAAGGAATTTTTTATAAGAAATTTCAAAAATGTATTTTCTCTTTTGTTTAATTCTCCCTTATGTTATGCATTAATGTTGATTTAAGTTCTTTACAGTCAATAATTCGTCGGGCACAGTTTCAGGTTAATCAGAATAGAAGAATCTTTCCAGAAAAACGTTTTCTCTGTGATGACCAGGTGTGATTCTGATATTCAGATGTAACCTTATCTAGATATCAACATCAAATGAAGTAGTTTTTTTAAATGACACTACATCTCTTGAAAATTCCTTTGCAAATTGTAAATGAGTTGCCTTTACAGTAACTTTAAGCATGGATTTTAAAATTTTTAACCCTCCAGCCACTAGTAATAGTTTCTCCAATATATTTACAAAAGGCATTGTCTTTTCCCAGTTCTTTCCTACCATCTATCTGACTATTAAATCAGTTCCAATAATATTGTATAGTAACAGTTAAGAGAAACCTTTTTCTTAGGCAGATAGTTTTAGAAGTCCAGGCTGTGTCCCACTTAAACCCGTCACATGTTTAAATAAGTGCTATAGGGTTATAAAGTGGTACGTGAATGAAACTTTAAAAAGTAGACGAATCTTCTGCCAAGGTTATTTGATCTCAAGGATCAACTTGACCTCAGCTTCAGTCCTCAATATTTGTTCTCCTCTCAATACCCAAAAGACAACAAGGGTTTTGAGGTTCACACTAAATAAACCAATACAGGATGTAAAAGACTTGTTAAGTCAAGAAATTTTAATGTCTTGACAAATTAGCGAAAAGTTTGAATCCTGAACTCAGTTACCACGGAAGTTAGTATAAGTGCAAGAATCATTTGCTAATTCATTAATTTCTAAATCCACATGAGGGACACGTTTTTTATTTCATGTGGGGGACACAATTAATATCACCAACAATTTAGGTTACTGCTTTCCACTGAATTATTAAAAACTATTGACAGGTTTGATATAAGAATGCATAAAAAATAATCATTAAAAACGTAATTCTCAAGCTACGAACGGTGCTGAAGAAACAATACACTTCTCAATTAATCAACTAATGTTTCAATCACAATCATTTGCTCCCATAAATGTGCTGTATTAACGAAAGTATTATAAAAATGTAAGTTATTATCACTTCTTGAAAAGTAGCAAACTAGATGGTAACTATATCTGATTTGTTCACTGCTCGTTGTATGTCAGCATCATATCCGACACAGTCTTTCAAAACTAAAGTATTATCTGAAAACATATGGTTGCATAAATTTTGACATTAAAACATATGGTTACATATGAAAACATAAATTTTTCCCTAATTAAACTTTTCAACCAGTGTAATACAGTTGCATGATAATTTATAGTAGTACTTATTTGTAACGGAACCCAAAATTGGATCTCTGTGCATAGGTTAGCGAACTAAATTACGAGACTGATAATATATTGCGCAATGGAATTTGTGCGTGCAGTATTGTTTAAAGGTTATGTGGTAGCTCAGAATGATCAGTAGTTATTGATTATGACTCAAAAGAATCATTTGAATGAAAGACAAAAGTGGCGGTTAACTGATAGATTCGAGAGCAGGCAAACACAAATGGAGGCCGCCCAAGATCTGAATATTTCTCTAAGTGTCATATCAAGAATGAGAAACTGATTTTAGACAGTGAATCAATCAGAAGACAGCCAGATTAGCAACGATCCAAAAATAACAATCCCAGTCTTAAGATAATTTTCTGTTATTACCGAAGAAATCATGATACGACTACATGAGAGTTGGTTTAGACCTTCGGGCGGCGTCAAAACCTCGAATCGTGTTCTTGCCACAGGAAGACTTCATAATATGAGGTAGCAATTCATGTCAGAATACAAGTGCTTTAAGTCCTACTCATTTCATCCTCTGAAGGTGCTCGTTTAAGGTGCTGAAGATGTTCTGCTTAATGAACCAAAGAGGAATGGGACTGTTTACGGACGAACCCACATGTAACCTGAACTGTGACTCTAGAGGTGCTTTGATCTAGAGCAGGGTTTCTGAAACTGTGAGTCGCGATCCCCAAGGGGGTCGTGGGACCTGCAGCAGGGAGTCGCCAAAAATTTTAGCAGTTTTGATATTTCTTTAACTTATAATGATTTTACAATTACCAAATATTTTTACACAATGTATCTGAAAATAGATAAAGATAAGACAATACAGACAAAGAAAAACACGAAACGCATTTTTTTTTTATAATATAAACGTTCATTTTCCTTCCTTTGCACGTGACTCTGTCATTTCGTCTGTTACTTATAAAATTTCACACTGTTCTATGTCTTAAATTTAGAAATTAAAGTTAATGACCTAAAACTACAATAGTATACTACAGTACAAGTGAAAAATTGACAGTTTCACTCACGCGTGTGTCGGTTTTGCTCAATATTTATGGGGCCCCACAAAATTTTTGTAAATATTATGGGGTCCAGGGGGTTGCGAAAGAATGTCGGTGATACAAAGGGGTCGCGACTGAAAAACGTTTAAGAAACCCTGATCTAGAGGAAGCGAGGAACACGCAACTTGCCTTTCCATGTTCATGAAAAATTCAGTTTGCACAGAAGAGGTTTCATTGCTTAGTCTTCATCTTCTTTCCTTGCTCAAAAATGGCCGCACCGAACTGCACATCACCGATGGAGTTTCCGTAATCTGCCAGATATGTGGGCGAGATCTTGGAACCCATGCAAGGATGTTTGAGGCATTGTTCGCATGCGAATGAATCGTAATACGGTCCTCTACCGAGTAGCTGTTATGTGAGAACACTTGAAAACGGAAAATATAACTCAAATACATAAATTAGCAAGCTTACTCACCGAACTTGTACTCAAGTGAGAGTGCCAGATGCATCATTCGGAAGCGTAATGGCATGCGACATGCGACGGGGGACGTGGGCACCACCCCTTTACCGTCGGTTAATTGATGTAGCGCCACGTCCACCAGTATCTAGAGTTGAACTTTGAGTCTTTCAAAAGAACAATTACATGGCCATACAAGGGCTGTTAATATTTAGTATTACATTCTTGTTTGCTGGTTAACATATTCTATGGATAACGTGATTTACAGAGTTACATACTGACTTTGTTTCTCATTTCCGGCATACAATGCATATGCATTACCTGAATTACATTAATTTTACATTGCGTTGAATTACTTTGTGTACAGTTACAGTTTTTAGCTGTACATTTCAATAAATATACCTACATTACTTGTAGATTGCATATAAATACAGTTTGCATGTACAGTTACATATGCCAATATTACATGTGCCTTACGTTACATTATTTTTATATACATACATAGTCAGGCACACCTGCTTCACATATTACTTAATTTTACCTACACTGCTTAACCTTAGGTTACATATACTTGCAGTTGCATACAGATACATGCAAATACATTCTGATTAATTTTTAGATACAAATATTTACAAACATAATAGTCTTACAGGTTACTTACATTACATGTTATTTGGGTACTTATTGCATAATTTTCCAGTACATGAAATAGACATTCCAATATATACATTGCTTTGCGTTAGACATCCTATATCCCTTATTCATAATACAAAACATATATGTTACCCATGCATTTTTATTAGACATTTCTTTCTGCATTTATATTGCATTACTTTAAGTTGCATAACTTACTTATACATATCTTACTGATACACAAAAATATTTACATATATTACACTCCCTTACATTACTTACTTGCTTTACAGATATATGCACTTTCATACATTCGTTATGCCTACATTATATATCGGTTTCATTATATATGGTCTTACGGTATAATTTGCCGAAATTTATTTACACAGTACATGCACATTGTTAAATGCAACTGACTTTCCAGGTATGAATACAGGCAGTCTTTATACTGTGAGTTTCTAGTCTACATTATAGTTTCTTACAATTCACTTGAATGACAGTTTTCCTACATTGCAATACATGTCCTTTTTAAAATGTTTAAGTTGTTTTTACATGCTGGGTTGTTCTATGGCTGACACAAGTCTGTATCTAAACCGGACAGTCTGTCCATCAACTGTACTAGCTTTTTAATAAAGTGCCGCTGTTTTATCATATATTTACAGAACGGCTGGCGATTTGTTTCAGGGAGATTGATATGCAGTCCTTCTGTTAATGGGCATGACGTTAGATAGTGCTCTGGTGAACCTGAGTCGCCGCATGCACATTAACTTGTGTGACTTATGCCACGCTTGAAGAAATATTCCGGGTAGGGCCCATGCCCGGAAATGAACCTTACCAACTGTGCGTTCGCTACATTTCGGCTAGTGTCCACATAGCCGATGAAGTAGTGGGTCCTTCTCCCTGTGGTGCTTTGGTCCCATTCGTTCTGCCACATGCCAGTGGCCCTTAGACGTAGTGTCTTCTTTAAATACGAATGCGGCCATGGGATGATAATTGGTGCATCAGGCGGGTCAGTTGTTGCCTCTTTGGCGAGTAGGTCGGCAAGCTCATTGCCATAGTGGCCAACATGAGCCTTTATCCACTCTAATTTTGTGCGGTACTGGGGGTTGCTTCTAAGATCTCTCTGGATTCCTTGTATAATCTCCGAGGGATGATCTGCATTCCAAATGGCATATAACGATGATAAGCTGTCCGTTTTAATGGTGACATGGCTATGCTGGTGCAAGTGCAGGTAGCGAATCGCTTGTGCAATTGCCACTGCTTCGCTTTGAAAGACACTGTTATGTTGTCTTAACTGTCCCTTCCATTTCTCGATTGCGTTGTCTTGTTTCGTGGCGACATAGGCGCATCCCACTCTTTCGTCCAATCTAGACCCGTCTGTATAGATGATCATTTCCCTTGAGTGATGAGTTGCAGTGGGATTAATTGAGATAAGTATCCCTTTGCCTTTCTCTGCCGGGTGGACGTCAAGAGGGCAGAAGTTTGTTTCGTACTCATCCAGGTAGTATGTTTCATCGTCAAAAGTGCTGCTTTCTTAAGTTGCAAAATATGTTGGCGTGCTGCCTCCTCCTCAACCCGGATGTGCAGGGGAAGGAGACCAGCAAGTACGTTAATGGCATCGGTGGAAGTGGTGCGGTAGGCCCGTGTGATTCCCAATGCGAATGGTTGTTGTATGCTGTTAAGATGTTTGACCTTCCTTCCTTGCATTGGGTAGGCCCATACTGCGGCAGCATACGTCATTATCTTCTCGATGACTGTTGTGTACAATACCTTTTGAATATGGGGGTTAAGCCCCCATTTGTGACCATAAAAGAGTTTCATCTATTTGACTATGGCTGCCGTCCGGAGTTTGAGATCCTGCACGTGAGGGATCCAGGTCATCTTATGATCAAAAGTGACCCCTAAATATCTTAGCTGGTCCACTATCTGCAGGCGTTGGTTGTTAATCTTTATGGTGGGTCTTCTTACTAAGGATCCTCCTTTTTTCGGAATTAAAAGGACTTTTGACTTATGTTCTGCAATTGTGAGCTTAAGTTTGGTACACTGGTCATGAAAGATCGCGCAAACTTCATTGCAATTTTTCTGTAATTTTTCTCGCGTGGTACCCTTTACGATAAGCGCCGCGTCATCCGCGTATGCAATGATTTTAGTGTGCGCCGGCCACGTCGCTGTCAGTACTTCATTGAACGTTAAGTTCCATAAATGCGGCCCGGCGCACGATCCTTGCGGACATCCTCTAGTTTGCACCTTTTCGATAATGCCTGCATTATGCACCGCTGATAGCTTCCGATCCTGCAGGTAGTTGATTATTATACTATATATGTTACTTGGGCAATTGGCCCTTCGTAATGCCTGCTTGATAGCCGGCCACCACAGCGTATCCAAAGCATTCTTTAGGTCTATGCTGACCATAGCCGTGTGGTGGCCGCTGTGTCTATTTTCCAGAATTGCCTCCTTTATATTATGGAGGGCATGCACCGTCGATGAACCAGTCCTGAAGCCATATTGGCTGCTGCTGAGATAACCGTTGAGATGCAAGTGGTGGCGCAGTCTGTTGATCATTAGCTTCTCCAACACCTTCCCCATCGCCGACAAAAGGCAGATGGGTCTGAATGATGAGGCTTCTGAAGGATCTCTGTTTTTCTTGAGGAATAATACCACTTGCCCTATTTTATATGGTGTTGGAAAACGTCCTACTGACAGAAGCTTATTGAAATAGCTTGCGAAGAATGTAGGGTATGCCTTTATGGTAGCTTTTACGATTGTGTAGTCCATGCCGTCTGTCCCGGGGGCTTTCTTTCGCGGCAGACTTGCCAGCACTCTCTGCAGTTCTTGAAGCGTGAATTCCGGATCTGCTTCTGTGTCTACACTATTTGTATCTGCTCGAAGGGCAGCTTGTTCGGCGGTGTCTTGCTCAGCATTGTCCTGACTGAACACAGTATTTAAAACTACATTCAAAGTGTCAGTCGTGTAGCTTTGGTTGCTATCCAGTGATGACGGGATTTGAAGCTGCGAAGGCTTGAACACCTTCCCCGTTGCTATCTTGTGATGCAGCCCGTATACTTCTTTTGTATTGGAACAGAACTCTCTCCAAGATGTTACTTTGGCCTGGATGATCATCCTTTTGTATTTTGCTCGCTCTCTTTGAAAAATGGTGAGTGTGTCCGAGGTGATCTCTAGCCGGCTCTCGTACTTCAATCTCCTTCGCAAAGCCCTGCATTTACGCTGTTGCTTCTGTAATGCGCCCGTCCACCAGTGCATTTCCTTTATCTTCTGAGGTTTTTTCTTGGGGAGATTTTGGTCACAAACTAATTGTAGGTGTTCTGTAGCCTGATGGAGAAATTCTCCAAGTCTGCATGCTGTAGTGCCGGTTCAAGAGTTTCCAGGTGCCTTTTAACCTTCCTAGTGAAGGTAAGGAGCTTTCTACCTGGGAGATTGTACCTTTTAATTTTGGTGATAGATGTAGACTGCCGCAGAGAGTAAGTTATAAATTTGTGATCACTTAGACTTTCTTGATCATCTACTTTCCAATCTGTCAGTAAGAACGCTGCTTGCAAAGACGTAATAGTGAGATCGGGCCAGCCCCGAGCGAAGATTCTGTCGAAGGAGGGTGGCGCTTCTGCGGTATTGTGGATAACAAGATTTTTCGAGCTGAGGAAGTCCTCTAGCTCTCTGCCCTTTGTGTCCGTGGCACGATAGCCCCAGGTAGTATTATGGGCGTTATAATCTCCCCCGAAAAGTACGTATGGAATCTTTATCTTGTGTAAAACTCGCTCCATGAACCTTGCAGTGGGTCCAATTTCCACTGTCGGTGGCGAGTAGCTCGAAGCGATGGCCAAAGTAAGTGAATGAACTTCCAGGAGTACTGCAATGTTGTCTTGTTCCGCTGCGATGATAACCGGCGACCAGTCCGGCCTGCAACATACTAAAATTGCTTTTGGTGCATTATCTTTATCTATTTTCTGAAATACCGTCCATTTTACCGGGAAACCTACTGCCATCCCCTCTCTGACATAAGGCTCTTGACCAAGGATTATATCTATGTTCTTTTCGATTGCATATTGTATTGTTTGAGCGACTGCCAAGCGTAATGGCAGACCGCACATTGAGTTGAACAGCGTTAAACGAATGTCGCATACTGCGCATGCCCAGAAAACAATTTGGCGCGATTTGAAAAGAAGATAAATACGGTATATGGTAGATGTACCGCCATCTGATTGTAAACAACTCTGGCGTTTAAATCTTCGAAGAGTATAATGTAAATGTAAATTAATTACTGTGTTAAAATACTATTTTTTGCTGTATTGCTCAAACAACTAGAAAGCTGAAATTATTGCGAAGTAAGGTGAAGCAGTGTTTGCATTCAAAATGTAAAATATAATACCTATGAAATTCTGCACATTCCTTTGGAACTGTACAAATTTTCGTTCAGAAAAAGACTGAAATTTAGGATATATTAGTTGAAAATTTATTCATTATACTTTTAAGCAATAAAAACAATTCAAGATTTACCATACGTTCCATTCGTACATACATAAAGAAACACTGAGGAATATAACAAGTACTTGCAAATAACACTGAAGAAATTTTACAATTCCTTAATGCTAGTTATTAAATTCTTTGAAATGAGAAAATAAAAGCGCGAATATACGCTAACAATCTAAGCGAGATACTCCAGTTTACAATTACTGAATTATAACATGTAAACAAATTACATTTAAATAACGAATTATTACGAACATATGTTAACAAATATTAAATGCACTGTTATTGACAAATTTCAATGAAATATATATTAGAAAAATAAGCAACTGCAATCGGTATGGACGTTAAAATAACTAATAAGCAAAATTCCACAACATTACAGTTGTAAACATCATTCGAACACACTCGACAGCCATGGAGGTCACGAAAAAGCTAGCGTAGGGTTGCTTAGTCGCCAATATTTCTCCCCGCGCCAAAGGTACACCATCAGCATGCGCAGTAAGCGAAATTTACTTAACATTGTTCAACTCAATGTGCGGTCTGCCATTACGCCATCCGGAACCTGCAAAATCTGAAAACAGCACTTTCAGAATACAGCGCAGTTTCTTAACATCTGATCAACAATTTAGCCAGTTCTATGAAATCACAATGTGAGGATTTCGTTTCTATCTGAGGCGACCATATACTATATTAAAGAAAGATTTGTTGCAAAACAGAAAAGATCTATAATTTTAAAATTTCCATAAATCAGATTTTAATTCAATATTTTGAAATTAATAAACTGGCAAACTATGTTAAATAATGTTTTTGTACATATTGCTATTGATCATTTTTTAACAAATAAGAATTATGTTTTATTTCTGTCAGTCGAGCAGTCTATTTGTATGGTTGCTTCTTCCTAGACTTAATGAGAAAAAGTTCATTTTGAACAAAGTCTCTTCTATATCAGCTCGATATATACCCGATATTTTAGTCGCCTCAGTTATTTGAATCTGTTAATGCCGAATAAGCAAGTGGGAAGATGCATTAGAGGAAATCGATTAGGGGCATCTTTGAGAGAAAATACGTATTTGGTGACTTTGTATTAATGGTAAAATTAATCTTTGGCAATATCTCTAATGGAGAAGTTACTTTTTGAAAAATTATTTCAAAATGTCAAGAAGGCATTACAACTCTGACAGAGTTTTGACAGTCTGTTGTTTTGAATAACAGACAGTCAAAACTGTAGTCGAAGTAGTCGAACAAAACTGTAGCCAAAGCTGTAGTCGAAGCAAGACTCTTCGATTATAAAATCCTTTAATTTTGTTTCATCTACCTGTATGAGTGGCAACAATAAGCAATGAATTACGTCACTGATTTCGAACAAATAGGCTCTTTATCAAGCGCTTTTATGTGCATTCTGGCAGCAGTTTATCTTAGCTTGAGTCTGAAGCCAAAACATATTTTTGATCCTTTACAAGTTACTTTACTTCTGTACATTACGATTACCTGCATTATTTAATTTGAAATTTAAATAAAGAAATCTTAAAAATTGTACCTTGTACCTAAATGCTATATTTTTAGTGCACAGAAAACACAATAAAGTCTAATTAGTTTTAATTAGAGAGTGTAGTTATGACTTGCTGTTTTTAAAGTAAAAACATAGCAAAAGCCTAACAAACCTCCTTTTTGCGAATGAAAAACGTAAGGTTTTCTTTTCTCAGCTATTTATATGAGAACGCAAATTTTTTATAAATTTAAGAAGCCCTTCTGTTGAAAGTTTTTTATACAAAAGTGTCAAATAGCCCTACTATTCTAGGCTATTTATATTAAAACGTAAGAATTTCAAGTCGAAAAAAAGTTTGCGAAGTCTTTCTGTTCTAAGCTGTTTATATAATAACTTAAAATTCTGTGGCTTCACGAAGCCAG